GAAAAATTGAAATGAATGAAGAGCACTCATAATTTCTTTTTTTCATTTTGCCTTTTCCATGCTATTTGTTATGTTGTATTTTTTAATTGATGATGACATGTCATGATATGAGTGTTTTGAATCAAGAATAAAATACTCTGACTATCCTTCTAGTTTGTTTCAATTACATATATCTTTCCTTTATTTTAAAAACATACAGTTTAGTCCAATTAGTTAACACAGTTAATAGGAGTATTCTAAAAAGATTCTAAAAATATTATTTTTAACTGAAATTTATATTAAAATAAAATTTATTTACTATTTTACTTCTGATTCTAATAAAGTCCTAAATTATATTTTTATAATTACATTAATTTCAATCATTTAAGGCAAATATAAAAGATTTGATTAAAATTTTAACTAATTTTTTATAATAAATATATATTTAACTAATTATGTTTATAAATCTTTGTAATAAAGAAGTCTTTAAAAGTTTTGAATTATAAATTGAAATAACTTATAAAATATTTTAAACTTATATCATTTAAATTCTATGATAAATAAGAACTAGGAATTTGAAATATACTTTTACAATTTAAAAGAAATCAAAATAAATAATTTTTAATGAATGTGATAAACTAAAGAAAAAACCTTTACTTTTGAATCCTTCACCCAATGGTCTAAAAGATTTTAGCCCAATTAAATCTTTAATTTCTTGCAATAAATTAATATTTATTAAATTAAATTTTACAAAAATAATGAAATAATAAATAGGTATTATAAGGTATAAATAATATATGTATGCGTAAAATTAAAAAAAAATCTTCATGATATGTTATTTTAAAATAATATTACAAGAAAGAATTTTAATATTAAAAAAATATATGTTTAATGTATTTTATATAGTGCAATAATATATTAATTAATACTTGATATAAATAAAATTATAGAAATAGAAAAAGAAACAAAAGGAAAAAATCTCTATTTCTTAAACTTATTTATTTATTTTAATTGCAAATAAATAATTTACAAAAAATGATTAAAAAGTTCTGAGAAATTATCACACGATCCAATTATGAGGTAGAACAACTACAAATTGGATTGACAAATATGCAGACTTCATTCAAGCATGGGATAGATGGCCACATGTAATTCTTAATGCTCCTATAGCATTTGATGAACTTGATCGAACATCTCAGTACATGCAATGGTATTAGAGACATACAAGACAATGGATTTAACGTATCAGTGGCGATACAGGTTGTGCGGTAAGTTTTTCATCTTTCTACCATTAATATCGTTTTCTTTTACACAAAAAGTGTTATTATCTTATATCTCATTATTTTTTTGGTCTAACATAGCGGAGGAGCTATACAGGCTTTCAGTTAATTCCCGTTCAACATGTCCTAGTTGTGTTGATTATCGAGACAAGGTTGCTCGCGACCAACGTAATATTTTACTTGCACTTAGAGAACAACATTTTAATAAGAACCCTCAGCTTGCTCTACCAACAATTGAGTTGCCTCGACCACAAATTTCATATGATAGACCAAGCAAGCGACGCAGTGGTTACTTGTCTACCCAACCTATAATTGAAAATGAAAATGTAAGGGAACAAGAACCTCTAATTTTTACTCAGGCTTCTGACATATCACCGTCACCATCATCCCCCTTCACCTTTATCGATCTTACACAACTTGAGTCTCATTACATAGCACCCTTATCATCATCCACTTCCAACTTATCCAATTCTTCTCAATTTCAACCATTCATGACTTTATTAGATAATCCTGCATTATTTTCAGCTGAATACAATGCTTCTACTTTTAAACATGGTAGACCATCAAATGAAGCATTTGTCACTCCTCGACAATCTATATATTTAAATGAATCACCTTGGTTTGATTTGAACACACCAACTATACAAACAAATGAGACATTTGAATCTCAAGAAATTGGTATACAACAACAACGCCCATGAAGGATGAGAAAAAGGCCAAGATATGGTACTGGAAGTCACTATCAATAAGGTGGATAATTTTTTCTTTATAAACTTAAACTTTATTTATTACTTTTTATTTTTAATTAATACACATCTTATACTTATTTCACAATTAGTTTTAACATCATTATAACATTTTTCTCTCATTATTTAGTCATGATTTTGTCATTCAAATAATTGATAAATCATTATACTAATAATTTTAATCAGGAGAGAAGTCATTTAACAGCAGATGAAGTTTTGAAATTGTTCACCAGAAGAACAATTTTCATTTACCTCACGCACATCGAGCACCTCACGCACATGGAGGATAGATTATGAAGAAGTCATTCACCAGATAAAATGACTTTAAAAATTATTCACCTGAAGACCGATTTTAAGTGTAACATATTAGTAAATACTTTTAAAAGTGTAGCATCTTGATATATAATTTTACTGCTTGTAGTATTTTGGTAAAAAAGCCTGTCTGTGGCATTTGTTTGGTTTGACAAGAAATCAAGTATTGGGCATGGGCCTTTTATGCCTGTGAGCAAAATAATAATAATAATAATAATAATAATAATAATAATAATAGTAATAATAATAATAATAATAATAATAATAATAGTAATAATAATAATAATAATAATATAGTCTTACAACTTAATTGTTACAATTAAAAATTTACAATCAAAACATAAATTTTTTTGTTACATACTGTTTTTGGTATGAGAAAGATAAAAAAGAAGAGGAAATAATAGAAAATTTCATCAAGCTCTATTTGAAAACAATTAAAAAACTGGAGTTTTCAAATTTTAATCCAATATAAGTCAGATAAAGTAATATTTACTATATATGTTGTTGCCTCACAGGAGTATCGTCAGGGATTTTTATTTTTACATGCAAGGCAGAAAGTGAAATCGTTCTTGGCGTGAACGATTTCACTTTTTGGTTTAAAAAAATAATTTAAAAGTGAAATCATTCATGCCAAGAACGACTTGTGTGTAATTTAAAAAGTCATTCTTGCAAGAACGATTTTAAGTGCAGAGATTCAAAAGTGTAACATTTTGGTATATAGTTTTACTGTTTATCATATTTTGGTAAAAAACCACTATTCATATATCCCTCTTCCTTCTCACCATTCCTTGTTATGGGGACATTCCTATGTATGCTTTTGTTTTTATGTGACTCCAATGCCAACCTAACTTCTACCAAATGAGCCGTCTCAAGCTTTCTTACTGCAGTTTCCTTAGATGCTAAGATGCATGTTAGTATACAAATGAAAACAAGTGGAAATGCAAACGCATGGGGCAAATGAACGAAATGAAATTTGTATCGGGATGATGGGCTAATTACAAAAGAAATTGAGCAACTTAAATAACAGTTATGCATGTTATGGGATGTTTGAATAATCCCAAAAGTACTTTTTAAAAGTATTTTTTCATAAATATAGACAGACTATTCTATATATTTACTTATAAAAACACTTTTAAAATCATAGTTTTTATTTCTACTCAAACATCTCCTTTATAATGAAAATAGGAAAACGTGATTTAGAAATGTAAAATGACGTCATGCGATCAATGTAACCAACCCTGCCTAGTAGGATAAGATTTTGTTATTGTTGTTGTTGATTTAGAAATGTAAAATAATAAATGCTCTAATAGAGAGAGAATAAGTTGCGATGGATGAGTTTTTGAATGATAATTGTGTAGCTTGTTATATTTGATGCCTCCTATTTATAGGCAGTGATAGAAGCTTCTGATGTTGCATGTTCCTTAATTTTTAGCGCCAATCCGTCATGTTTGCACGTTTCATCCCACTATTCTTGTGGGTGGGTGTTGTGCATGTGCTATTATGAGGGACATGTGGCCTTCATTACTGTATCATGGGGGCTAATGCTTTTTTTAAGGCTGTTTTTGAGGCCTCATTTAGTTTTGATTTGAAAAGCATACATATAGGCCTTTGATTAAATGTAATTGGGGTTGTTTTTATTTCTAAGGAAGAGGCAAAATACTTGAAAAATTACGTTCAAATAACTAACTCCTTATCATTTTGAGGAGTAACGATAAAATTAATCCCCAAAGTTAAATTCATTTGCAAAACTACCCCTTACAACTCGTACTTGGTAATCATGGTGTCAAGTTAGAGGCCTAGTGATTATTGGCACAAACGCACACTTTGTGGCATGCTGTGTTGGGCTTAACATAGCCTAACGTTGTGTGCTTCAATGGTTTGCTTTGCTTCAAAAATTTGTCTTTTAATTCATATGTCAGCCAAGTCGCTATCTACCTCTCACCTAGGATTTTCTGGGCCCTTTAGTCCGATTTGATATGAAATATTAAAAATAAAAAATAATGATTAGGATTAAAATTGAAAAAATCTATTAAAAGAAGTTTAACATAAAAAATTACTTGTTAAGTGAGATTAGACAAATTTATACATGTGGAATTGAGAAATATTATAGGAAAAGTGGTATTTTCCAATCTCATTTTTATGATTTTACATAATCCCATGTAACAAACAATTATTTATACTAAATATTTTTTAATAATTTTTTATTTACAATCTCATGGGACCTTTGATCCTCGACGGAGAGTCAGAGATGAGTTATCACTGGTTCGTACTGGGTAGACTGCCGTTTATACGATTCAAATTGATATTATTTAAATATTAAATGTATTTTTATCAATTTTATTTTAATTAATTATATTATATTTTTAACATATTTTCAGTTTTTTTATATATTTATGGTTTTTAACTAATATTATATTGTAAAAAAAGGGAAAGTAAATTAGTACTAATTCATAAAAAAAATAGAGATTATCTTAACAAATGGAGATAATTATTGAGTATAATTTATAAAATTCCAAAGTAGAGGTGCTTACATGAAAAAGACATAGGAACCAATTAATTGACTTTTCCTTTAATAAAAAATCTTACTCCGCCGCGACCAAAAGCTGCCACGTCCATACTTCAAACAGTATTTTGAGTGACTTAAGGAAAGGACTCCGTGTATTTTTGACCGGGAGGACAACAACTTAGGAGAACTTCGAATCCTTCTTGCCCGAGGGAAAGGTTCTGATTCTTGTTTCCTGAGCAGCATCCGAGCAACAGAATGCTCCTTCTCCGGAGAGCGTTGATTTTTCGCTCGGATCCGACCACTGCCAGTGTTGAGGTTGAAAAGCCTCATCATCCTCCTAAAACTCAAATCCGCGTAAGAACAAATGCAGCCGTTAAATTTATGAGTAATAGCATTAACACAGAGAGTAACCGAGAGAGAAAGCTCTCCCTCTCATTGAAATCCGCGAGCAGCTGCAGCTCTGGCAACACAGAATTCTCATCGGCCTCCCCTCCTGATGTCATCATTGTGGGTGCAGGTGTGGCTGGTTCAGCTCTGGCTCATACTCTTGGCAAGGTGAATGCTCATGATTGAAGGCAATTTCGCCCTTTTATCTGTAGATTTGACATTATTTTGCGAGCTGCTGGTAATTATGAAGTCGTTCTTGGAAGCTTGCATAGTTTAGTAGAAGCCTCGAAACACGCCTCGAGGATAATTTAGATGATCAAGCTTGCATTTGTTTCTCGCCGCACTTAATCTAATGTCCCATTTCAGTCATTATGAATTTTCCTTGCAAGTTCATGTCATCCTTTAATAGGATATATTGGGCTATCAACGATGAATATGCTTGCAATTTTATGTTCCATTTCAGTAATATTTTGGAATTTCTTTCCCCTTAATTGGCATTACCTTACTGATGATAACCTAGGAGAAAATAGAGGACATTTGTCAGAGAGAAATTTCAGATGACTTTGAAGACCTACTAGACAAAGTGTAAAGTCAGTCAAAAAAATGCTCTTCACTGATCATTTTCTAACAAACCAGGACAGCTCACAAAAATATGAAAGGATGAACGGTAGACACCAGCGTGCGGATCCCCCCCCCCCCCCCAAAAAAAAAATCTGAATGCTTGTCTTCGAGCTGTAGCATTGTTTGTGACAAGTAGAAGTAGCAACTCTCGTGAAGGAATGCTTTCACTGAACCGAATGAAGTGATGATGATTTGGTATATCTTTGCAATCTTGGAGGTTTGGTCAAGATGTTTTGCTTATGAAAGCCTGTTATCTTAAATTTATATTTTGTACTGTTTGATTTGGATGATCAAGGAATGTTCAGTTATCTGCCTATCAATTGCTTTAAGTTTTATGATCTTATATTAATATCCTCAGGGAAAGATGTGACTTTTGGATTTATTAGCTGTCATGACATTCCGTAACGGTGTGTGTTTTCTGCAATTTTTTGAAGGATGGAAGACACGTGCATGTTATTGAGAGAGACTTCACAGAGCCTGATAGAATCATAGGTGAACTTCTCCAGCCAGGTGGTTACCTGAAGCTAATTGAATTGGGGTTAGAAGGTATGGAGATCAAAGTAGCATACAAAATTTTTATGGATTACTCAGGTGCTCGGTTGAATTGGGCATCTTTTCTCGTCATCAGCCTGGTTACAAATTGCTAGTGTTAAACCACAATGGTAAATGACATATATGTCTGTGAAATTGAGAGAAATACACACCTATTGAAGTAAAATATTTTAACACTTGAAATTTATCTTTTACTTGGCCTTTGTCATTATTATTAGCTTATGGTAGGTGGAGGCTAAGATGGCCATCAATGCAAATATCTTTTATCAATACTGTTTTTGACATGTGATATTAATGTTTGTCTTCTATGTCAGATTGTGTGGAGCAGATTGATGCTCAAAGAGTGCTAGGATATGCTCTTTTCAAGGATGGAAAAAATACCATGCTATCTTATCCCCTGAAAAAGTTTCATGCTGATGTGGCTGGGAGGAGCTTTCACAATGGCCGTTTTATACAGAAGATGAGAGAAAAAGCTGCGGAACTGCCCAAGTAGTTTTTCTTGTCCTTTTGTAACCGTTATTTTTAGCTATTAGAAATGTTTTGTGAGATATTAGATATAAATTGTTGGTACATTTCGTTGTCCATGCTTTTATTCTTGTACTCTTGGGCTTGATTATCTTATTCTCATCACTTTCATCTGCACTTATTTTCTCTCTAGTGTACGAATGGAACAGGGCAATGTAACATCCCTCCTTGAGGAGAATGGAACCGTTAAAGGAGTCCAGTACAGAACCAAGGATGGCCAAGAACATAAAGCTTATGCTCCTTTAACAATAGTGTGTGATGGCTGTTTCTCGAATTTGCGTCGGTCTCTTTGCCAGCCCAAGGTTAATACCTTTGCCTTGCTAGAAATATTGCTGTAGCCTTGATTCCTTTCTTCTTTTGTGATTTTTTTTTTCACTCAAAAGTCAAGAGTGTGCCACAATGGGGCATCAAAAGTTGCTTCTATCCACGCACTAATTAGTCCGCACACCTAACTTTGAGTGTCATAAATTCCTTAAAACTTTTGCCAGATAGAAGTGCCCTCTTCCTTTGTGGGTTTAATCCTGGAAAATTGTCAACTTCCCTTTGCAAATCATGGGCATGTGATTTTAGCAGATCCTTCCCCCATCTTATTTTATCCAATCAGCAGCACTGAAATTCGTTGCTTAGTTGATTTACCTGGCCAAAAGCTTCCTTCCATCAGAAATGGTGAAATGGCCAATTATTTGAAGAATATAGTGGCTCCGCAGGTATCTTAAATTCTGCTTTATGGATAGTCCAATTGCAATTTGTTGTCGGTTACAGTATTTATATTTTCTTTTCTCAGTGAAAGAGCCAAAGTTTTCAATTTGCTTCATCCTTCATCTTCCCACATTCCATGTGTTATTTTTTATCACAGATTCCACCTGAGCTTTACAGTGCTTTCATATCTGCTATCAATAAGGGAGATATCAGAACCATGCCTAATAGAAGCATGCCGGCTTATCCTCTCCCTACTCCTGGGGCTCTTTTAATGGGTGACGCTCTCAACATGCGGCATCCGTTGACTGGTGGAGGAGTGACAGTGGCACTGTCTGATATTGTTACGCTTCGTGACCTTCTCAGGCTATTACATAACCTAAATGACGCAGCTTTACTGTGCAAATATCTTGAATCCTTTTACATCTTGCGCAAGGTAAGTAGATTTCCGCATTTTAGGTATCTTGTTTTGTAAATTGGTCCATATACTATGCTGCATATAGTTACATGTCTAATGATGTCGCTTTCAAAGTAACTGTGGCATGGAAAATTACCGTTGTCGAAACCAATATATTAGTAAATATGAAAGTAAATTCAGAAGTACAAGTGTTCCTACAAATAGCAACTCATGACCTTACATGCCTCTTGCAGCCAATGGCATCCACTATTAATACGTTGGCAGGGGCCCTGTACAAGGTGTTTTCTGCTTCACCTGATCAATCGAGAAAGCAACTGCGCCAAGCATGTTTTGACTACTTGAGCCTCGGGGGCACCTTCTCGGACGGACCAATGGCCTTACTCTCCGGTCTGAACCCTCGTCCACTGAGTTTAGTTCTCCATTTCTTTGCCGTTGCAGTCTATGGAGTTGGCCGTTTGCTTTTCCCAATTCCTTCATTCAAACGCATCGGGATTGCAGCCAGAGTAATTTGGGTGAGCACCTACCTTCTCCTCCTTTCTCCATTCCTTCCAGTTCCTTTCCTTTTATGTGTGGTCCGCATCCCTTCTAGTTCATGAGTCACTGAGTTTTCTTTTTTCATGACGCTTTGACATAATTACAATTTTTGTCATTCTCACTGGAGGAATTGTTGCAGTGTGCATCAGGCATAATATTTCCCATCATCAAGGCTGAAGGAGTGAGGCAAATGTTTTTTGCTGCAACCTTACCAGCTTATTATAGAGCTCCTCTTAACAGGTGATACATTGTTGAGGTGTGGGGGAGAGATCTTGCGACAGTCAAAATGGTTTTGATTTGGTTGGGGGATTGGGATTCGTCTCCTCCAAAATGGAAACGTATATTCTCCGGTGGCCCATTTAGATTTTCAAGGCGAAAAGAATCACTGCCGTTCTTGTCCCGCTTGTCAAAAATCCTCTGCAAGTCATTGCGGGTGAGGGTCTGGGGAAGACATAATTTATAATCTCTGCAACAAAAGGCTATGATCTCCCCAAAGTGACGGCTAAGATTCTTCATTCTTTTATCAAAAAGGTGCGTTTGGCTGATGAGCATGGAAACCGAACGCCTAAAACATATACGCCTGACACTACCTGTACAAGATATTAATTTATTTGTTTGTATATATGATAGGCACACACAAACTTTATTCAATTGTATGTATTGATACAACATATGTTGGCTGAAAAAAGTGATTGAGGCAATATATACTCAAGAGAGAAATATGAACGTCGGGGCTCGTTTCGTTGCATGCTGATGCTTCAGTGGTTAAAGAAATCTCTCTGTTTTTTTTTTTTTTTGATAATGAGAAACCTTATCCAGAGCCTACACGACCGCTTGCCATAGCCTTGCGGTCATCAACCAAATATAAGATAACTCCCTGGGAATATCAATCTCTGTTTTTTTTTTAAAGAACAATTACAATTAGGTGGAATTAAATATAAAAAAGTCTTTTAAAATCATGAAATTATTCTGAAGTCTCAAAAGATCTTATTATAATAAATTTTATTTGTTTAATTACTAAATTATTTTTTTTTAAGTTTGTATTGACAAGTGAAAGAGCAGTGGTTAACAATTTAAGGTACAAGGATTGACAACTATCATGATAGGTATTGACAACACATGTAACTTAAATTGTCAACTATTGTTTTTTTAGTTGTTAATGTAACTATAAAAATAATAATAAAAACAATTTAGTAATTAAATAAATAAAATTTATTATAAAAAAATCTTTTAGAACTTCAAAATAATTTTATAATTTTAAGATACCGTTTGTATTTGATTCCGGACCTAATAGCAATTTTCCATTTCGGAATACGGTTAACGAAATCTCTGGTTTGATGATTTATTGAGTAGGACGGGGCTGTCTGTTCCACGTGTTATTAGTTCTTAGGCTTCCGTTTACGATAAGAACCTTGTTGGGAATAGGAATGGCTTACCAAGTAAGACAACATGAGAACCGTAGGATTCAACAAACCAGTTCAGCTATTGGGTCAATTTTCTTTTCTTTTTCGTCAAAAGTCTTCACTCGTCGTCGTCGTAGGAACTCTGAGGTAAGAGAGAGAAACACAGGCAGGCCAAAAAAAAAAAAGAGAGGGAAACACAGTATTGCTTAATCAGCAAGCAGCATTTAAAAAGTATTTATTGATGAAAAAATGCTCAGAGCCAGAGTTATGAGCCCAATACCTTATCTTCTCCACCGAACAGTACACAAATTGTAAGCCTCCCTGGAAATGAATCATTATGCCTCCAAGGAGGAATGGGCACTCCATCAGAAAATGGTGCCGTCGCATTTGCTTGGCGAGCAGTGCTGATAGTTCAGACTCATCAGATTCTGAAACCCACTATTCCCGTCGTCCGGCTAATATCGGCGAAGATCATCGTTTTCCGTTGCCGGAGACGCCGAGCCCAGCCATTGAAGATGCCATACCTTACGCTTCCCGTTCAGCTACTGAAGTGGATTGGCAGCTCCACCCACCACCACCGCCACCGCCTCCGCCTCCGTTTATCCTGGATCAGCTCCCGCAACATCATATGCGAAACGATGGTCGGGTTCCAGGAATCCGTGTAAATGTAACTGAAATCTCGGGGATTGAAGATGATCATGGTGATGTGGTTAGGAATATGGAAATAACAGAGGCGATTACAAGAGAGAGAACCATATGTCCGATATGCAAGGAGGAGTTCAAATTAGGAGGAGATGCAGGCAAATTACCTTGCGACCATTTCTTTTGCTTCGAATGTATCCATGTTTGGCTTAACTTTGACCAAAACGATACTTGCCCTGTTTGTCGTCGTCCCTTTCCTTCAACGAATTTCCGATCACCTGGAATCGCAGTCCCACCCCCACCTACAGTTCTTGATAGTCCCTGGGAATATTTCTTCTTCCCTCCTGAGCCCATTCTTACTGAGTCACATCTTGTTGCCGATGAAACTGGGTCGTCATCTTCCCCATCAATAATCAATAGCGAAGCTGGTTATGACACTGCACGTGACGAGCTTGATGCATCTCATGACCATCCACAAGCCTCTCTTGCTTCTTCCACACCTACGACTGTCTTTCCCTAATCTGCAAGTGGATCCACAAGTTCACGATATTTGCTTACTTCTCCAATTTTTGACAGCCATTCTCCTGGAGTTGCAATTTAATCTTCTTGATGGTTAATTTTCCTTCTTTTTCTTTTTTTTGGGGACAGCGGCTTTATGTTTGACCTGGTTTGCATATAACTCGACAAAGATTGACAGAAGCAGCATGTTAATATTAGACCTGCCGTTGGACTGATCTTTTGCGTGGGTTGAAGTATCTGGTCCAACCCTAAATAGCTTTTCATTAATTATTCGATCACTCATTTATTAATTTTCATTATTATGGCCGTAATTATATCTAACAATAATAATATATTTCTCTTCCATCAATTTAATTTGCTCGTTTAATTTAGATTGGCGAGATTACATTGCCCTCTATACTTCAAACCCTTTTTTTTTTGGATTTAGTCCAAGTATCCATCTCGTAGTAATTAATCCTCTTTATATTTCAACTTTCATTTAGAACTCATCTTGATGCTATGCCTACGAACTAAATATTACTTTCAATCTTAAATATAAAAAGCAATTGAAGATTCAATCTGGTCACAAATATAATATCTAAATCCATTTTATTTTCATATTGATTTATTTTTAAATAATTTTATGGTGATTGTACATATTTAAAAGTTTTTATTATAATACACATGATTAACAAGAATAAACAATATTTATTTATTACAAATAACTAACTTAATTAATTTTTTTAATATTTATAAATTAGTTATTTAGCTCTTGTATTAAAGAGTAGATGTAATATTATACCTGGTACTTATATGCAACTCCAAGATGACAATTTTTAGAAGGAAGAGGTGAATGAAAACTAGCTTCTTTCTGCATTTACAGGCACTAATCTTTATGTGTAAATATATCGGGTGTAATGTCAAGATCAAACTAATTTGTTGTTTTATTTATTGACTTGGTTCATAGTTCGTTTGAATAAAGTTCAATTCCCCACCTCTCACCATTCTGCTCCTGCTTATTCAGGCGATGATGCATCTTATGATGCTTAACTTTGATTCAAAATTGCTGTAAAGCCATTTATTTATGTGAGAAAACTGCCATTTTTAATCGGAGAGAGAATGCATGTTTGACAGATTGAAGTTTTTTTCTTTGAACTTGGGAAATTTATGAAGTATTCCTCTAATCCTTTTTATAGTATGGAGAGAAGTTTTTTTCCCTATTTATAAGTCAAATAAGTAAATTTTTAATATAAGTATACTATTTTACTCTTAATTTATTATGATGTAGTATATTGTTATTTTCTTGAAATATATATATTAAATAGAGATAAATTTAAAAAATTGTTAAATTTTAAAGCAGAATTATTAGATTTAAAGTTTTTTTAGAGTCCAATAAAACATAATAAAGTAACCTATTAAGAGTAAGATTTTAATCAACCACATGTGCTTTTGGTCCATATGCACCACATATTTGGAACCAGTTTTGGTATTCATCACTTTGATGAACACCATAAGCTCATTATATTTGTACCGTCTATATTTGATTTGAACTGTCCAGATTTAAAATCTTTAATTAATTATTTTTAAATATTTTTTTTGAAAAAAATGATAGTTAAGAGATCATCACTATTTTATATTTTATACATATTAAAATAATTATTTTGAATAGATAAGAATAAAAAAGAAACCAAATCTGAACCGTCTACATGAAATATGAATAATTCAGATCTGAAGAATTTATGAGACTCACCAAAGAGATAGACACCGAAACTGGTTGTCGGATATTAATTTAATCACTCTTGGTTTTCATTAGTCCTTTGTTTATGTCATGTAAATTCAAATAAAAATCATAACGCTGAATCTAATGTTAACTTGGATAGTAAGAATATATTTTTTTGGGTCTAAACTCTAAAGATAGTAAAAATAGTGGGGTTAGTGTTGAATTTTATTTTGAAAGTTATCGCGTAGAAGCTATGGATATTCAAAAAAATTTTAGATCAATATCGCTTTGAAAGTGTTAAAGAATGAGAAATGTCGTCCTTAGCTATTAAAAATGTTAGCACCTAATACTAGTTTTTTAATGATTAGTGTTAGTTTTTAACAGTTAAAACAAATTTCCTTTTTTTAAAGTACTTTTGTAATGATATTAATTCTAAAATTACTTTCAAATATCCACAACTTGTGCAGGAAAACTTGAACAAAATTGGACATATAACCCCAAAACTTTTATTTTTGCTGAACATTATTTTGCCTTTATTTAAAAAAATGGAAAAAGCGCCATGTTACCAAGCAGATGCATACGCGCTTTTTTTTTTTTGGGTCAATTGATTGATTGATTTTTTTTTATTTTCAATTTTCATTTGGTTCCGGATCAATGATATTTAGAATTCTGTTGGCCATGCTTGCAGATGCGCTTGCGTTGAGTGAGGCTCTATGCTCACCAAAGTTGGGAAGGAAATTTTTTTATAAAATAAATCCAAATGAAAAAATTTATTGAATTTTTTAGATGTGAAAACAATTTATTGAATCTTGGACAATTAAATTTGGCGGTTTCATGTCTTCATGCATCAAAATCTGTTAAGGACTACCGGACTAGTTGGAATCTCGGAGAGGAGTTATGCCCAATGCCTATTGCTTTCTGTCAGGCGTGGGGCTCGGAAAGCCGAATGGATCCCAAATCACCCGCTTAACTCCTTCCTCCACTGACAATCATAGCCCTTCGGTCCAAGTTTCTTTTGCGTTATGAACAGGGGAGGAGATTGAATTGGTTGCTTGTCGAGGATTGAAGGAATCAGGATTCATTGTGATAGGTATTTTCATCATAAACTTTCTGCTTGTCATTCTTGGATAGCCGAAGCCAATGCTCTCCTACTTTCTTTTCCCAAGCTGTCATAATTTATGATTTTGGGAGTTACAATTCTCTTAGTGGGAAATGGT